TTGTTTAATATATAATTTTAAATTAACAACACTAAAAAAATAATTTTAGAGAAATATGTAAATTTAATTTTTTAACAACACTAAAACTAAAAAAATTATAAGGCCATAATTTTTAATTTATTATTTTTAATTAAATTTAATTTATAATTTATATATTTTTATTTAATATATAATTTTAAGTTAACAACACTAAAAAAATAATTTTAGAGAAATATGTAAATTTAATTTTTTAACAACACTAAAAAAAATTAATTTATAAGGCCATAATTTTTAACTTATTATTTTTAATTAAATTTAATTTATAATTTATAATTTAATTTATTTATTTAATATATAATTTTAAATTAACAACACTAAAAAAATAATTTATAAATGTTCAAAAGACTATTTTACCCTTTCTAATTGTTTACTAAGTAATAGCATGGAGGATAAAATGGACATTTCACCAAATAATCCCATGGGATACCAATCCCATGGTTTCTATCTCACACCCCCCATGGGATAGCATAGTCCCATATTTGTGGGACTAATAGTCCGGGGGGACTATTAGTCCATAGCAAAATTTTACAAACAAACAATGGGTGGCACTAATAGTCCAATCCCACACTCTTATCCCTCAAAACAAACATGCTCTTAGTGTTATTGCATGACATATGCATGTTTTTATTCCATGTTTGAGTGCTTTAAGTTGAATTAGTCTCTTTGATATTTGTGATGCTTTGTAGTATGCCTTGATATGAAATGAGTTGAAGTTTAGAGGTCTAAGATTGAGAAAATTCTCATTTGAACAAGGTATGCTCATGTGTACTCTTAAATTCTTAATTAAGGTGTTTAATTGTATTGATCTAATTGACATATTCATGATTTTATGTTTTTATCTCCTATTGCATTTGAGGAAAGTGTTATGTTGGGTCGTTGAGAACTTTTTGGAAAATGTTGAGAATTGGGATAAATACTTTGGTAAATTCGATTAAGGGGTATAGATATGATTGTGAGAATTAAGTTGGCTTGTGGTTCTCAGTGAAAGTCTGAAAAATCACGCAGTGTAGGATCCAATTTCCTTCCAGTTAGTAGTCGGTAAAGTAGAGTATTTGGTAGTTCTTTCATAGACTATTGGCAGACACGTACTTGGGGATTTTCAGTGTTGTATTTACCACCCAAATGGTTTGGATGAAATGAAGAATTTGCATTGGTTGTGTTTTGGAAAGTGCATGGCATGTCATTGCATTTCATGATCATGATTATGTTAAAATTCATGCACTTTGTTAAGATTATCTCTGTTGGGCTTTATGCTAGTCCATTTCTGTAAAATCATTTTCAGGTGTTGACAGTGTGTCTCCGCTAAGATGAAGGCCATGGAAGATTTTGGGAGCTAAGGCTCATTGTTTGTTATTTTTGTTAAGCCTAGTGCTTAACTTGTATTTGGGTTGAAATCTTTTTATTAATTGTAACAAGGCTAGGCCCCTGAAATGTATAAGCCTCTTGAAATGTATAAGCCTTTAGGGCATTTATCTTGGTTATTGTTCAATTTTATAGGTTTTTAGGGTTATGATTGTACCAATGCATGTAATTAACTTTTGAAATCTCAAGGCAATGTTTGGAATGAAATATATATATATATATATATAATGAAAGAGATTGTTTTATTTAAGAATGTAGATACAAATTGATGATTTTTATCAACTTTCTCATGTATGATTTAATCAGTTGATGGAAATGAACAGTGAACATGGTTTATATGCTATAAAACGGGTTCTATAAAATAGAGGGAGTTACAATCTTTGTGCATCACCAAGTCCCAAGAGAAGGCTAATTGGAATCCTCTAGCTGTTTAGACACATTCAGGGTGCCATAGGGCTCTTATATATAATGTTTTTACATTTTTGTTTTTCTTTTTTGGGTCCAGATGATATTAAGAGAGTAAGGGTGATTCTATTTGCACCTAAAAAATATTAAGTACACCTAATTAAAATTTTGAAATTTTATTTTGGGAAATTCTATTTGCACATTTTTAATACTCTCAGTACACACTATTACTCTTTTTTTATATTACAATTTCGTCCCACAGTAAAATTACCTCTTCGGACAAATTTCTAAACCCTAATCTCTGAACGCGCTCCATCATCATCACCAGCCTCCTGCAATCCTCAACCATCAACACCATGACTCCTCTTTCCCACTACCATTGTAGGCCAATCTCCACCGCCGGCCATCGCTATCACCAACAATTCCTACGACCATAACCACCAGAGAGAGATCTGGAAAACACGGATCTAGGGTTTGAAGAAAACAAAAGAAAAGAATATATAAGGTTAGTTACGGCGGATGCAATGGTTGATGCAACTGACTTTTCACCTCCATCTGTTGTCCTTAAGCAACCACGATGATGACTTCCCTCTTGGCCACCATTACAATCCCTATCGCAACCTTTCAATCATGCTACTCTACCACCCATTGCCTTTTCAACTACTGCTATAACAACTCACATCGCCGTGACCCACCACTATGGAACAAGAGAGAGAGAGAGAGATCTAACGTTAGGGTGTGAGAGGCTAAACGAGGCTGATGGTGGAGATGGGAAAATGGGCGGCAGATGGGTGATAGCTAGATGCGAGAAGCTGTGACTGTGACGGTGGCGGTAGTGATTTGGATTAGGATTAGGCTACTGCGACGATGACGGCTACTGGCAGTGGTGGTAATGATTTGGATTAGGATTAGGGCTAGGGTTAGCGTTTGGGTTTGGGTTTGGGTTTGTTGAAGAAGAGGGTAGTTTGGTATTATTTAAAAAATAAGGGTGCATAATGAGATAAAATCAAACTTTTCAATTTAAGTGTGGTGTGAACTGAGTTAATAGGAGAATATATTGTTAATTGAGAGGTTTAGTGGTGTATAAATAGAATTACCCTTTTAGTTCATATTATATCATAATATAAATTTACTAATGAGGACAACACATATTAAATCTTAAAATAATTTTTTTTTTCCACATAGTACACCCTAGTTACTTATATGTATTCTTCATCTTCTTTCTCAAAATTCAATTGTTTTCTTTTTCTTCTTCTTTTTCTTCACTCCAAAATTCCAAATCACCCTATCAAAACTCACCGTTATCGTCATCATTATTTCTTATTCTTGAGAATAGAAGAAAGTTCGAATAAAACCAAACAATCGATGAAAATAACAATGAAAACTATTTTTTGAAATTACCCATCAAATAGGAGGTAAGTATTCACATAAATATCAAAGTATAATTTTATTTTATTTTTTTAACATAAAAACAAATTCAACTCGTTTAACATCATTGTTGTTCGGACTTTTAGATCCAAACAAATTAAACATGTTCGGATCTGAAAGTCTGAACCCTAATTTTTCAAATTTAAAGTTTAACTTCTCAATTTGTTTTCGTTCATTCAATTTTAAGTTTGTAGGAAGAACCTAATTCACTCTATGGTGTGATTGAGCTCCGACAAATGACTGTGGTTGGTGGTTGGTGGTCAATTCAAAGTTCAAGCTTTAAGCTCGGTAATGCAAATGTAAACACGAACAGGAAGTTCTTAATTTTCAAGTTCAAACGCAAAGTTCACCTCTCGTTCTCCTTCGTTGTTCTCCTTCGTTAGTGTTGCCTTCACCGATGCCATGTTCCCTGTCGTATTCCTTATATTTGAACATGAGAAAGGTTTTTGAAAAGTTTTTCAAATGATTTGAGTTTTTTAATTTGTTTATTATATGGGTGTACTTTAAAGGGTAATTTGGAAAAAGAAAATATCGATTGTATTAAAAGTAAATTATAACCCCAAATAATTGAACAGAGTGTACTAAAAAATTAAACATATTTTAATGATTGGTCTGTGGTCAGTGTGTTGTTTGGCTATCGTTTTTGGCATTTTTATTTTTTATTTGTTTATTTTTTGGGTAGTAAAAGGAGCTTCATTGACTACAGAACCAAATAAAAGAAATTTATTTTCCTTTCTTTTTTCTTTTTTTCTTTTGTGAAAAAAAAAATAGACTACAAATTATGAGACTAGAGGGCCATGACAAATATGTATACCTAACTCAATTCAACGTAAAAAAAATTGGTATCAGTTCTAATTCATATAACTTGAGTCCCAAAAAAATAAAATAAACATTAGGTCTAGCAGAAAAGCCCCAAGTCCATATCTCATTCACATAGAGAGTTTATGGCACCCATGCTAGCCTCTTGTCTTGCCTCCATAACCACTCTCACCACCGTTCAAATAACCAAATCTGAACAGAAGGCTAGTGTACAGTACATTGTACTATAATTCGTGAGGGTGATACTCATGCTGTAGTATCACTCCACGGACTCCAACTCATAGCGTTTGGCAAAGTTGGACTGTTGATAAACACTAAGTAAATATGCCCACACCTCCTTTGCTATGGAATATTTAAAGAACATCATGCCAATGCGATCTTCCATAGAATTGTGGAACCAAGTCAGAATCTGGGCATTATCAGAATCCCAAGCATCACATGTAGTCTCATATCCCTCTTTCTTGGATTCAGATGGACGAGAACAGCTTTGATACCATGTAAGTTTCTGAAGAATTTCTGTATATTAAATTGTGTGTTTGGTTTACAAAGAGTGCATCAATTATATAGCCCTAATCTATGACAGAAAAAGAAAATACAAAGAAAAGGAAATTGCCTAATTCCTAATATACAATATATACAAGATATATTCTCACAATACGATGGGTTATTTATGTTATTGTTTTGCATTATGGCAGTGACTCTTTGGTCTTTGTGATGTACAGTGGGTTGCTCCGTGGGAGAGCATGCATATGTTGCTGGTTTCTTATGGAGGGTTTGGAAGCAATAGGAAGGCTAAAACATTGTGGTCTTGCATTGTTTTTGTGATATTTTGGATCGTTTGGTTGGAAAGAAATAATCGGATTTTTTAATGAGAATGAAGTAAATGAGGAATCTTTGTGGGATAGGATGAGACATATGGCATTAGTTTGGGCTTGTGTGTCTTCCCCTTTCAAAGACATACCCTTGTTTTTGATCTCTAGGGATTGGGCTACTATTTGCCATACTTAGCAGTGGATTGTTTTATGTTGTAGTTTTTATTTCTTCGATCTTTGTCTTTGTTTTTTCTAACTTTGTAGGAGGACTTCTTGTCCTCCCTTTGTTTTCATTTTTGTTTCAATTAAATTGTTTTGTTGCCGCTCAAAAAAAAAAAAAAATATATATATATATATTAGTGTCTATGAGAGATGGATTTGCAATACTCCTTCGTCCCAAACAGACCTTTGTTGGATCCTCGTTTCAATACCTGAAAGAAGTAACACTCTGGTCGATGTTGTCGAAATTAGCACTTTGATAGGCAAGTCATATATTGGTTGAGAGAGAAAATGCGTTAGGTATTCAATGAGTAGAGCAAGTTAGGGTGATTAGGCATATCTTTCTTCTTCCAGTTACCTTCTTTATATAAAGGTCATGTGTAGATATTTCTTCACGTAATTTGATCATCATCATTACCATACACGTCCTTATTACAACTCCGGAAAGGGACGACTTGGGCCCACTTTGATTGGGATAGCTTGCCGAATTGTCCCTAATTGTCCCTAGTACTCAACATTAATGTTCTTTGATTGTCGGCACTATCCTCTGGGCACGTCACCTAGTCGGTGAAAGAATTTACTTGGCATCGAACCTCTATAATCTAGTGGACCTGGTTAAACTTGGGTCTGTCTGCGATGGGCCTAGGAGTTCTTTGTTTGCCAAATGTGCAATTTCTATACTCGGCTCACATAATTGCCTCCAGAGCTCCTGGTCGCTTCGAGTACCGAGTGGCCTGCATGCTCAGCTCGCTTTAAACCTTTCATTCGGCTGATCTTCTTGACAGATGGGCTGCTTTCATTATCCCTTGAGATTTGGGCGCGTAAGAGGTACGTTTCTTTATCTTTGACCTGTCTGATGGGATCCCACAGAAGATACATAAACTTCCCACCCCTTTAGACTTCTTGCATACACTTCATTGAGTGCATTTTCAAAAAATGAATTCTAAGCGCCCTTTCACTTCCAAAAACCTCTCCATTATATGTAATTCTTCATTCCTCATCCTCTACATTGAAGTAGCTTGGCAATCCCTCCTCTGAGTAAGCCACAAACTCTTCTTTAAGTCTTCTGAGCGCCTTTCTTTTTCCATATTGCACTTTCAATTTCACATTTTCTTCTCTTTAAGTTTTTTTCTGTGAGTGTTTATGGTGAATCAACTGAAGGAGCTATTGTCTAAGTCAAAATTTGTTTCCTTTCGTTGCCACTTCAAGATCCCAGACTATGTTGAGTTGGAACTCATCAGGGATGCAAGCACCATTGCTTTGCCGCTACTGGCCATCGCTGAGAGGGGAGTTCGCTTCCCCTTCCATCCCTTGTTTTGAACTACTCTTCGTTACTAGGGTTTAATTCCCTCCTAGCCTAACGTCAATGTTTTCCATATTATCATAGGAGTCATGGAATTGAACAACATTCTAGGGATCAACTTAGGGATGCCTATTATTTGACATTGTTACACCTTTGCCAAGTCTTCTAGACGGCTTGGCATATTTTTCCTAAAGGCCAAGGATAAGGACCACTAATTGGTAACAATGTTAGCCAGTTCGGGCAAAAGTGTTGATGATGTAATGG